AAAAATAATAATGATGAAAAAATCAACCATGAAGCATATATTAATTTCTTTTCCGCTACAGCTTTTATCTGTCACACACCACGATTATGTAATCGGTAGGCAGAAGTAAATTTTGTTGAAAGAATGTTTACGTATGTATGTGTTAGTGCCTTGCGAGAACGGGAACGATATTAAAAATGACCATTCTCGAAAATCGTTTTGTTCTATTTTATGCATATATTCTTCAAACTTTGCTCTTTCAAAAAACAATGTCGAATTCAACCAATACAATGTTATATTGTTGAGAAATAGACTTTGACATTCTGCTTAAGACTTTTGCATCTCTTATTAATGAAAACAGAAATAAAAACCTAGACAAGTTCATTCATTACTCATTAGAATGTAATTCAATCATAACATCTATTATTTACTTTGTCATTATCATCTTCGAAAAGGCTCTTTTTTCAGAGTATCTCTTAATACAACAAATATTATCAACTCCTCTTCAATTTTTTCGTATTTTCATCAATATTGTTGATATGCAAGCCTTTTTCTCCCTTGTCTATTGTTCAATTGATGAAGAAAATAAGTCTCTTTACTAAGTGCATCTAAATTTTGATGTATAAATAATAATTGATTTATTCTATTCAATTGTACCTCCAATGATAATTTTATTTTTAATTAAAGGTTATCTCATGCTCGATAAAGTGCGGCATTGACAGAGGCTAGTATCTCGTAATGATAATTTTTCTCAAACACGAAAAATTATATAGCGATAGGAACTTTGAACATATTACGAAAACGAAAACGAAAACGAGAACGGAAAACGGCAACGAAAAAAAGTTGTTCTTGCAGGACATTAGTATGTGTGGCTGTAATTGTTAAATTGTAGGTTTTCTCTTCATGCTGACTTACATTTACACCTACACTTTCAGTTAATGCAAATTAAGAGAAACCAGATTTTCACCACAACGATCGAGAAAATCTGAAGTCACAAATGAAAATTATAAATTTGATGAAGTACGTCTAGAATTTATCGCAATTTCTAAAACAATCAAAATTTGATTTCTGGTTGCTAGTACGTAAAAGAAAACGAACCATTGTTGTCCAAATACTCTTTGACTATCTATAAAATTTACTGCTCCTGCTTCTTGTTTCAAACTTGCAGAGAATGTTAGAAAAACAATATGATTCTGTACAAATTAGTCACGATGATTTGTTGTCGTCAAAATTGTCTTGTACGAGTATAAGATAGAATATAATTTTATATTTTTTCCAACTATTGAATTTGATGGCAATAACGAATGCGGAGGACAATTATCATAATTTTTTTCATGCTATTAGTAATGAAATAGTCCTATAAAAATGTAGAGTTAAAAAACAGTATTCTTGCAATCAACAATTACTCAACGAAGACATGCATTGTGCAATGTGCTTTCAGTTACTTGTGTGGTTTTTTTTCGGTAAGAATTAGACCAACGCGAAAGAATTGACTTGTGGAGTCTTACTTAGTTAGGGATTAGCATACATGTACTTGATACGATGTCTATTCCGAATAGTACACTTCTCTACACAAATCATATCAAATTTACATTGACTGCAGCTGATCGTTCAACTACTCCAAACGCAGTAAATGCTAGCGCATCCTTATCAACGATGGATGGCATTCCTAATTCCACTATTACAACAACTAACACGATTATCAACGCACTACGGCCTGTGCAACCAACAGTTCAAGCAAAAGATGCACCATCCAAAAGGGTCGCTCATAAATGAATCAACTAACATTAGTCTTCCATAAGCGAATACAGAATGACTGATGTTTTGATTTCTGAACAGCAATCTGATTCGGGTTCGGGTTTATCAGCAGGTGCAATTACTGGCATTGTCATTGGTATTGTTATCCTACTTTGTTGCTGTTGTGCAGGAGGCAGTGCAGCTGTAACCGGAACTTGGTATTTTGTATCAGACTAAAGTTATTCAATCTTATAGTCTGATTTAGTTTCAATCTCGTGCATCATTTTATTTTAATCAATAATATATTTATCATTAATGAATCTACTCTATCTTAACTAAATCTTATTGTCAGTGAATATTCCTCTCTTTTAAGTAAAGTGTAAAAATTAACTTTGCGAAAAGATTAATACGTATGTTTACGGATAGATAGGCTGTGGACGTCAGAATGAGGATGAAGATGAAGCAAACGGCATCACTGTAACTCAGACATTCATCCATACTCTTGCTCTCACTACACATATGCGTTCGAAATCAAATTGTCCAGGTCATGTTTTTAGGTCTCCGACTCCGGCCGAAACTTGCGTATCCGATGACTTTTCTGCAGTAATCCATCGAAAAAACTAGGATCATGGATGCAATATTCCACAACTAAAAATAAATAAAACCGTACTCCGATTCCACCGAAAGATCTCTTAAAACCACAGAACACTTAACAGAACGAGAAACGATCCATCTGAAAACAGCTCGGAACTAATCGTATCGACCTGTATGATCCAATAAAGAACATATCAGAGGACTTAACATATTCTGACACCATGATAATCCCTAAGAATCGACTGCCTTCGCTTCACAATATGATTAATATAAATCATGGCCATATTCTTTTTGAAGCGATGACTGACCAACAAGAGTTTCAACTCTTTCCTATAGATTTTCCAATATTTCCGTTTGTTCTATTTCATTTCGATCATTTATTATTTGTCTTTAAAAAAAATGAAAATAAAAAGAAAGTTACAGTCACAAATGATGTGTTTCAAACTGATGATGATCGTATTTCAAAAGATTGAAAAAATGTCTTTCGCATAATTAAACCAAACTGTATTTTCATTATTAATTATTCATTGAGTGCAATTTTTGATGTTGATTCCACATATGAATTTAGTCTTCAACAAAGCTGTTTTTGTATCGAGAAACATAGTTTTCATCTAGAAAACCTTTAGCTCAACCACGG